ACAGCTGGGGTGGGACCAAGGGATTCTCTCCTGGGATCTAGTGGGTGGGGGCCAGGGATGCAATTAAACATCCTCCATGCACAAGACAGTGCCACAACACAGCATTACCCAGTTTAAATGTCAATAGGGCGGAGGCCGAGAAACCCTAGCGTAAGTAAAGATTTCTTAAGCTACAAAAGGCACAAACCATTAAAAAAAAAAAAAAAAAAAGATAAATTGAAATTCATCAAAATTTTTAAAAGTATCTGTTGATCAAAGTACATATCAAAAAAATGAAAAGGCAAGCCAAAAGACTGGGAAAAAATATTCATAGTACACATTACACATATCTAAGAAAGGACTTGTACTCAGAACACATAAAGAGCTCTTATAACTCATTAAGATGACCCCCAAAAGAATTGGGGAGGGGAGTGACAAAAGACTGGTTTTAATAGACATTACTGAAGGCTGCCCAAATGGTCAATAAACACATGGAAGATGGTCAACATCATTAGGCATTCCAATGAATGCATGAAAAGATATTCAACATCATGAGTCCGGGATATGGAAATTAAGACCACACTGAGATACCAAACAAACCCACTAGAATGGCTAAAATTAAAAAGACTGATAAGACCAAGTGCTGACAAGGACATAGAACTGAAACCCTCATATACTGCGGTGGGAATGCAAAACGGACATCCACTTCTGAATAGTTTAACAGCCCCCATCGTTAAACACTCACCATATTCAATGAACAATTCCACTCCTACATATCTACTCAAGAAAAAAAGAGCGCCATGGCGGGGACAACAAAAAAGGAAGGGGGGGGGGGTGGAACGAAGAAGAAAAAAAATGTTACCTGCAAAATAACGAGCTACCTTCTGCCACTAAGTCTCAGTTCTGAGACCCCACTGAATCCTCCGACCAGCACAATACAGTTTTACATGCTGAGATCAAAATAAAGATGAGAACATCTGAATTATTTTTCTCAATCCCCATCTTTTAAAAATCCTTCTATGAAACACTGATAAAAGATGTGAAATCCCTTCAGGAATTCATTTCCTAGGAATTTGTCAGGACGCTGTTCTAAGAATTAATGCATGAGATCTAATGTACCCATAATTAACAACCTCGGGCTTCTACACACACTTATTGTTGCAAGAAATGTACACACACAAATGGATGTGGTCCAGGTTTAACATGTGGCCCAAATTAAGCATATAAGCATTGTTCCTTCAGAAAAATCGAAGAAAAAAAAAAAATCTCCTTAGAGACAGCAACTAAATCAACCTCAACTCCCAGCTGGCTTCATTATTCTCTTGTTCCTGATATAATAAAAACTTTCCAGCATTTGTACCCAAACAATTGGGGGAAAACTTGTTCTGAATAAATTATAAAGTACTTTACTTAAATCAAGCAGCCCAATGCATTATTTTATAACTAGTACAAACTGTTAAGACCCCTAAGGATGTTAACACCTAAACAAAATGGAAACTCATCTACTACATATGATGTAAAATGGTAGTTTTCAAAGTGTAAGTCACACAGTGATGAGTAAGGCCACTGACGAGCAGAGAGCATTTTGGTCACTTTTGGTGACTTCTGATGACTTTGCATGGCCTGGCTTCTGCCCTCCCCCCACCTGCTTTCACTGTTCCAGCCCCACTGACCTCCAGACATTCCTCCCCAGCACTAATACTCCTTCCATGCCAGACCCACAGCCAGTCACACTGCCTTCAGGAAACGCGTTCTTTCCACTAGCACACCACCTCCCAAAACAGCTGAGTGACAAAGAATCCACCAACTTCTTCTCCAGCACAGGACTCACCCGGCACAGCAGTCATCTCGAGTCTTAGAAAACATACGACTGAGTCGCTCTAAGAAGCAACACATTAAGCACTCTGTAGAGCCAGATGCACTTTGGGAAAATCGCCTTTTTTGTCCCTGCTTTTCAGTGCACAACCCACAGAGACCTGTCCTCTCCTCCATGTGCACAAATATTCTTAAGGCTGCTGCTGAAAAAGTTCTCCGCCGTTTCCTTCACCCCTCCCAATAACTAACTGCACCAGGAACCAAACCCCTGCCACCTCCTTACCCCAGGAGAGAGAAGGGCCACAGCTGGCCCTCAGCTTTGCCCTCACCCAGGGGCCTCAGCAGGTGACCTGCAGGCAGCCCTGAAGCAGACTCGACTTCCCTCCTGTTGGTTCTAGGGGACCTCAGATGAAAAGTACCCTCTTTGGTTCTAGAGAGCTGGGTATGAGAGAGGTTGCTTCCTGGGACCCAACTCTTTTATTGAGAGACAAAGAGAATTTACTACCAGGGCTCTAGTTAAAGCTGTACAGTGTCTGGGCACTCCAAAGCTGTGGCGTGGATGATGGGTTTCTGGTGAATGCCCTAGGCATCAAACCACAACGAACAAGACAATTTTCAATGGGAAAAGTATGTTCTGTGTTACAAACAAGCAATTTACAAATATTTGGGATGTGATCCTTGTGTCTACTGGGGATGTCTACCTGGGGTCTTGGGGCCACTTGACCAAGCTACACTAACACTAGTAGTAACACTAATAAAGTCTGCTTTTCATACTCCTGGGGGGAATCTGGGTGGATTATTCACATTTCAGACAAATGGACTCCCTGAGATAGAATAAAAAGGCAGTTTAACACATCCTGCTTTGGTGATACTAAGTAAAACTTTTTTTTTTTTTAAAGATTTTATTTATTTATTTGTGAGAGAGAGAATGAGAGAGAGAGCGAGTACATGAGAGGGGGGAGGGTCAGAGGGAGAAGCAGACCCCCTGCCAAGCAGGGAGCCCGATGCGGGACTCGATCCAGGGACTCCAGGATCATGACCTGAGCCGAAGGCAGTCGCTTAACCAACTGAGCCACCCAGGCGCCCCCTAAGTAAAACTTTTCATACTGGATTTAAAAAATTATCAGCTCGCATTCCTGTTCCTCAGATATATGCTAGAGATAAGGAACTTTTAGCCAGCGTTATCTCATAAAAGTACACAGATTCTGACACTCCCCCCAGAAAAAGTCTTAACAAGTATTTAAGCCAAGGTATTCACTTAAAACAGGAACAAATAGGAAGAATTTCATTTAGCCGAATATTGAGTTTAAAGCTGACATTATGCACAGCTCTGGAGAAGTCTCAACGCAAAACCGCAGAGAAGTAAAAGACAGGGAAAAGAAATGTGTGCAAGCCCACCCCGGAATGGACAGGGAGATTTGCTGTCCCAAGGAAATCTGGAAGAAAAAGTAAACATGCCAACTTTAAAGATATTCTAAGACTGCAGAGGACACATTTGTCACACTAACAATGCCTATCACCCTAGAGCACTCTCTAGCATTTGCGAAGTTGAAGACACAAAGGCCATTCCCTACTGGACCCAGAGGCCATGTTCCACTCACAAACGAGGTTAACAAATGCAGATTCAGATTCAAGACGCTGTGAGTCCTCACAGCAACCCGAAACTAAGGGCCCCCCACCCCCGCATCAGCCACTTACATGTTTCTGCCCTCAAAGCCAACTTTAACCTTAACTATTAAAAAGTAAATTCCAATTTGCTAACAGGACCAAGACTTCAACACCACTAGCCCAGCTGAGTTAATTTCTTCGGGGCAGGGCTGGTCACAGCAGCCATTATTCCAAAATCTCCTCCTTTAAATGTTAGCTGCAGCCTGACCTGGCAGAAATTGACCCCCTTTTCTGCGTACCATGCTCATTACTGTGTAATATGTATCTTAGGGCAGCCAACTAACCTATAAACAATGTGCAGTAAACTCTCCAGCCTGCCTTCCTCCCCCTCCCCAAAAAGGGAAAAGAAATAAAGAACACGGACCTTGCAAAGAATTTCTGTTGTGAACTCAGTCTCAGTCTCCTTAGAACAGTGATATCTGCAAGTTCTAAACTCAGGAGTACGAATTAGACCATGTCTGATACAAGGGAAAACTAAGAAGCCCATAAACCTCACCACAAACTCAAAGTTCAGCTCAAAGCCAGCTCAACTTCATTCTGAGACGTAACTTGCTAGCGCCAGTTCACTGGTCTTTCTGAACTCTTCTTCATCCCACTTCCTTTTTACCAAAGTTTAAAAAATAAATACAAGTTGGGTTTTCCATCATCCTAAACAGTCCACAAAAGGTTGGTCAGAAAATTCTCATAACTGGCAGTTCCCCAGCCCCGGGACTCCTATCCTCGCCAGCATAGGACACTAACAGTCCTCGATGGGACTAGCGATTATACAATCATGATTCCCAGAGCAAAAGGCTCCACTAGAATAATCCACCCTGGAGACAATGACATCATGTGAGCAACTAGACAGGAAGTTAGGCTCGGAGAAGTGAAGGGTAAAGTCTTGAAAGCCAATACAGGATGACCACCCTCCATTCCCTCGATCAAAAAAAAAAAAAAAGAGTCACCTTCTGCAGAAAAGCTACTTTAAAGAGAAAATGGAAAACCTACATGGAGGAAATCAGTCAGCAAATGAAACCACCACCACCCCAACTCTAAGGCCATTCGTGCGGTGTCCTTCCACACTAAGGGGCCTCTCCAAAGTCCCGCTGATGGAACTTTGAGGAAAACGTGGAGTGGGAACAAAGCAAAGCTGTAGTTCCTGCGTCCTCCAACTTTCGCAGGCGCACCGCTGTGAGAGGGCAAGGGCTGGGCGGAGGGCGCCCGCAGTGTGACACCCGGCTGGGTCCGGGCGGCCGGCTGCTCGCACACAAAGCCGCCCCGGACTCAGTGACAGCCACAAGTGGCTAGGCAGCGGCCCCCCGGGCCAGCGCCAGGTCGGCGAGTACCCCGCGCCCCCCGCCCGCGCGCGCACGACCCCTCGGTCTCTCACCCCTCGCCACTACCCGGGCAACTTTCCCTCGGGGCCGGAGGAACCCAAACCCGGACGAAAGGCGACTCGGGGAGCCCAGTCCCCCCCCAGAGCGCCCCCGCCCCCCACCCAGCCCAGCTGCGCGCCCGGGGCACCGCGAGCGAAACCCGCGCCCCGGCGGGCCACCCACCTGCACAGCTCGGGGAACTCGGCGCCCTGGGCCCGCGCGGCCCCCGGGGCCCAGACGAGCAGCAGGAGCTGCACCAGCAGCAGGGAGCGCAGCGGGCGGCCGGCGGGCGCGGGCCCCAGGTGGGCGCTCCGGCGGGCGGCGGCCCCCATCGCGGCCGGCCCGGGCTGCGCGGCGAGCGCGGGGCTAGCGGCGCGCGGCTGCCGGGGGCCGCGCCCGGGACATGGTCGTGCCGCCAGGGCGGAGGCTGAGCTGGAGGCGCAGGGGCGGAGAGGAGCACGAGAGGCGAGGGAGCGGAGCAGGAGCCCGAGGGCTGCGCGGCTCGGCTGGGCTCGGCGGCGGCGGCCCCGGAACCGCGTCACGTGACCGCGCCTGGCCCCGCCCTCCCGCCCCGCCCCGCTCACATGACTCCCTTGTTCAGGTGATCCCCGCCCGCCCCGGCTCCGCCCAGGCCCGGTCACGTGAGCGCGGCGCGGCGCGGCGGGGCGCGGGGCGCGGGGCGCAGGTGCGTGGCCCGGGCCTGCGTCCCGGCGCCGGTGCTCGGCGGGGAGAGACCCTGGCCTCGCTTTCTCCCGCTCCCGCTGTGGGTCGCGGTGTGGGAGCGTCCCAACTTCGAGTTACCGTACCTCAACCTCGCCCGACAGGCGGGGAGGGGAAAAGAAGAGGGTCAGACTTTGGTGCCGAGCCGTAAATGGCATCGCAGAGCAGCGTAGCTTCGGACCCTTGACGAGTGGGAACGCACTTTTCCTGCTCTGCGGAGTCAGCTCGCGGAGCCCTGCGCGGGGTTGGCGTTCGCCTCGCAGAGCCTCTCACAACCTTCCCTGGGAATGTTTTTTCCTAAGCCGGAGCTTCCTGCATTAGAGAAGGCAGCACAAATATGGGACCGGGGAGTACGAAGGAGGCAAAGATGTAACTGGGAAGTGAGTGGCCCCCAACAAGACTTTATTAATTCCTCTATTCAAATGTTCTGTTGAACCCACACTATGTGAATGGCTCTGAGCTATGCGCTGTGCGAAAGTGAAAAGAAATCTGAAGTCTTGAACGCAAAAATTCTACCTTCTTTTATTTTTATTTTTTTAAGATTTTATTTATTTATTTGACAGAGAGAGAGACAGCGAGAGCAGGAACACAAGCAGGGGGAGTGGGAGAGGGAGAAGCAGGCTCTCCGCCGAGCAGGGAGCCCGATGCGGGGCTCGATCCCAGGACCCCGGGATCATGACCTGCGCCGAAGGCACAGGCGCCCTCAATTGATATTTTTAAAGATTTTATTTATTTGTCAGGGAGGGAGGGAGAGAGAGAGAACAAGCAGGGGGAGTGGTAGAAGGAGAAGCAGGCTTCCCGCGGAGCAGGGAGCCCGATGTGGGGCTCGATCCCAGGACCCCAGGACCTGCGCCGAAGGCACAGGCTTAACGACTGAGCCACCCAGGCGCCCCTACCTTCTTTTAGAGCAAATAAAAAGATACGGACTAACCACAGCGGTGACGGCTCATCTTTAATGCTTACTCCGTGCCAAACACTACTAGCTAGCACTTAAGCATGAATCTGGAAACCACGAGACTGGACCGTTGTTATAAATGAGGAACACACTCACAGAGACGTTAAGGAACTTATCCAAAGAGGCTTTAAGATGTGGCAAAGTTGGGATTCAGGCACATACACATAATCATGCCCCAATAGTAGCTAACATTTATTGAGCAGGTAATTATGTGCAAAGTCGCATTCTGGTGCTTTGATTTAGCTCATTTAATTCTAACACGATCCTATAAAAAAGGGGTACCTTTATTGTGCCTATTTTACAGATAAGGAAACTGAGGCGAGAGAGATTAAATAACTTGCCAGTCATGCAGCTAGTAAGAAAAAGCCTGGGTTTGAGCCAAGTCAGTGCCAGAGTCTGGCTTAGTCACCATGCTACTGAAAGAGTAATATAACCCAAGAAAGGAAAGCGTTGTGGTGGCTCAAAGGGAGAGCTCAGATGTCCAACTGTGGGCATCTAGAAAGGGTTTATATTTTGCAACTCCACTATTATAATTGATACAGGCAAAGAACTTCAAGGGATACTAAAACCATCAGGTGAAGAATTATTACAACTGGAATATTCACTTTGTCTTAAAGTATCACCCTCAAAGTATATTTCCCTAGTAAAGGGGAAATATATCTTTAAAAGAACCACCTTAATCAAGTGATTAGAATTGTTATCACAAATATTTGGATAAACTAATTTTTCCTGCATCCCAAAGTGATGCAATGAAGAATACTGCTAAAGGTAACATTTAAAAGCATAATTATGACTCAGATGCAGATGTAAAATGAACATGTGTTAAAGATATTATTTAACTCATTAATTAACATGACAACCAGTAGCATGTCACAACTGGCTCAAAGGGGAATCCAGAGAGAGTCCAACACATTTATAAGCAGTCAGGAATGCTGAAGTTAAATTGCCTAATAGATGGACGATTGGTCAATATCCATAAATCAAAAAACAACTGCATATTCAGTGGACACAATTTGCATTTCTAAAGACAAGAATCATAGATATTATCAACAGTATTCTACAATCTCCAAAGTTTTAAAATAGCTCACAGACAATGAAAGGCCCAAAACCCCATAGAATCAGATACCCCAGCAAGGGGCATTAGGTGGTGCCTAGTCTTCTATTGAGGTTGCTCGATATTATTTTTGGTCCATTTCAAAGTCTTCCATAATTTTCCCCTACAGTACACAATATCACTCACATGATACTCTTATCAAGATGTTTAATTTAAATCTAATCAGAATAAAACAATTGAATCCAGATTGTGGAGTATTCTACAAGAAAACTGAACTAGACAATTAAAAAATGTCAATGCTCAGGGTGCCTGGGTAGGTTAGTTGGTTGAGCATCCGATTCTTGGTTTCAGTTCAGGTCATGATCTCAGGGTTGTGGGATCGAGCCCAGAGTTGGGCTCTGTGCTCCATGTAAAGTCTGCTTGAGATTCTCCCTCTCCCTTTCCCTCTGCCCCATCCCCTGCTCATGCTCTAAATAAATTAAATAAATAAATAAATAAATAAATAAATAAATAAATAAATAAATAAATAAATAAAATCTTTTTTTAAAATGTCAGTGCTCTGTAAGGCACTCCCTCTCCAATAAAACAGGAGTACTCTTCCAAATTGGGGTTAGAAAAAACACTGAGGGCCAAATCTGGCTAGAGAGCTCTTTTCTAAATAAAGTTTTATTGGAATATAACCATACCCATTTATATTATCTATGGCTCCTCTCACTTACAATTTCAGTGAGTATTTTGCAACACAAAACCTATTCTACCATCTGGCCTTCTATAGAAAAAGTTTTCCAACCCCTGTTCTGTATCAGTGGTTCACAAAAGTGTGGTCCTTGGACCAGCAGCTTTGACATCGCTTTCCTGCTTGTTAGAAATGCCAATTCATGGGCCCTGCTCTGACCCATTGACTCAAAATCTTCAGTGATGGGCCCCAGAAAATTGTTTTACTAAGCTCTCCAGCAGATTTTCATACACATAAAGGTTTGAGAACTACTATCCTGAATTAAAAGAGACTAAAGGGACAAGACAACAAAATGCAATGCATGACCCTTAGTTGGAGACTGGACCCCAAAAAAGGAAGGTTTAAGGGACACCTAGGATAATTGGGAAAACTTGAATATAAATTGTATATTAGAAACTCTACAGTCAAATGGTATAGAGCATAATTCTCCTGTATTTCATTTAAATTTTGTAGTAAACCTTTGAGAAAATACAAACTCCAAGATGTTGGCTCAAGACCCCATGTTATGGGTTGAATTATGTCCCCTGAAAAGATATGTTGAAGTCCTAGCCCCCATTACTCCAGAATGTGACCTTATTTAAAAATAGAATCCTTGCAGATGTAGTTAGTTGACCTTAGATCAGACTGGGGTAGGGTGGGCTCAATCCAGTCTTAGACTGGTATCCTTATAAGCAGTGGAGTAGAGACATGGAGACACACAGGGGAAGACAGACATATAAGAATGGAGGAGTGAAGCATCTACAAGTGAAGGACACCATGAATAGGCGGCAACACCAGCTTCTGGGAGAAAGGCAAGGAAAGAATCATCCCTTAGAGCCTTCAGAGAGAACAGGGTCCTGCAGACACCTTGATTTTGGACTTCTAGCCGGCAGAACTGTGAAACAGCACATTCCTGTAGTTTCGGTTTGTGGTACTGTGTGTTAAAAACAAGACAGCAGCCCCAAAATGGAATCACTTATGCTAAGCTCCAGGACACCAAACTGAGACCTAACTTAATTACAACTTCAGCCTCTCCGAGAAACGGAATCTTAAACCAGTCAGTCAGGAATCAGCTGGTCAACCCTAGTGAGGTCATCTGCTTGATCAACCCCTGCCATCTCCTGAAGGGAAGTATCCTCACCACAACCAAACTACGTTTTGCTAGTGTGACTTCCTTCCAGTTAACTCCCCCTTTGCTAGTATAACTGCTTCTCTTCCCTTCTGTCTGTAAGTCTTCCATTCTGTACAGCAACTCAGAGCTCCTTTCTATCGCTAGAATAGATGCTGCCCGATTCATGAGTGATTGAATAAAGCCAGCAATATCTTCAAAATTTTATTCAGTTGAGTTTTGCTTTTTTAAAAAATTGTCACAACAGTCTTAGAACACAAATACACCTCACAGCTAACAGGACAGATTCGGGCTTGGAATCCAGGTGTTCCGACAACTACACCATCATGAAGGCTCAATCTTCTTGCACCTGACACTTGGCCTGGCTTTGGAAACACAAGTTCAGGTGACAGACCACGGACATACATATGCTGCTGGTGCAGATGTCCCGCTTGGTGTCTAAAATAAGAGTAGCTGCGGGTGAGTGAGTGGGTGCCCTTTGGAACACAAACCACAAGCTATCAAACTGATGGTGCTCAGATATCTCTCTGAAACCCAGGAAGAAGCATGCAACAAAATTCCAGAAACTTTTCTGAATACCCAGGGAAGAGCAAAATTCTACTAAAAAACCCTCAAGTCACATTGTCATATCTATTAGCTATTTCTTGATCCCTACAATGATAAACAAAGTAATCTGTTTTCCCAGGAGAAAAAAACTGAATAGTAAATAGTATTATCAAATCAATGTTAAATTTTGGGGGGTGAGATAATCATATTGTCATTTTGTAGGCAAACGTCCTTGTTCTTACGTGATACATGCTGAATGTAAAGTATCATGATGTCAGCAACTTTTAAATGACTCCAAAAAGAAAGGATATTATGTACTGAGAGAAAACAGATGTCAGGCTGCCTGGGTGGCTCAGTTGGTTGAGCATCTGACTCTTGATTTCGGCTC